CCCTGAAGTACTAGTGTGTGATACAGTAGATAAGCCATTGACATTCATGTCCCCGTTCAGACCTGCCGGGGGGAGAGAGAGGAAGGGTCAGCCACGTCCAGGAAGGAGCCTGCGGCACCTCCTGCCCGGCCTGGGGGCAGGTTGGAGACTGGCTTCTGGTTCCTCAGACCCCAGCCCTGAAGACGTCTGTGCCTGGCCAGACTAGGCCATGTCCGTGTGCGAGACGGAGGACCCCCGAGACGCTTGGGCTGCTTTCCACGCAGGCCCTAAGCTGCTGTCATGCCGGGCAGGGGAACCTGAGCTGCCCCCAGCCCAAGGGAGCAGGCTGGAGGTACTCGGGACATGGGTCCCCCCTCAGGCCCAGGCTCACCTTTCCCTGGCGGTGGGAAGGCGGTGGGCGCGCCATTGGCGTAGAGGCTGTCCCCTGAGGCGGGCGTGGGTTTCAGTCCTGAGGCGGTGGGGGCGGAGGGCAGGCCGGCGAAGCCAAAATGGTTGTTTGTTTCCATTGCTGAGGAGGGCACAGACATGGAGGGTTAAACGTGTTGCGGAGACCTTCCTGGGTCCTTAACACCCCCCTCGCCCCAAGGCAGGTCACCGGACCCTCCTCCACCCTGGACACTGCTGCAGGGCGGGGGGGAAGGGGGGGACGACGGATGGAGCTGGAGGGTGCACCGCAGGGGCCTGAGCGTGGTGGGGCAGGACAAGGCAGCGTCCCCCGCCCCAGCAGAGCTCCACGCGGGGGATCCTGGGCGGTTCTGATGGGAAGCGGCTGGAAGGACGGTGCTGGCTTCCCAAACGCACGCCCCGCCGAGACCCGGCTCCCAGCCCAGAGGAGCCTGGCGCTGGGAAACGCGGCGTTTCCTGTTCCCAGCAGCTCCTCGTCCCACCCCAGGGTCTTCGTCCTGGGGCGCTGAGGGCAGGGAGCACCCTGCAGCGACCCACCGGCCCCAGCGTCCAAGCCCTCGGGCATCGCAGTGACCTGGCGGGTGCCCAGGTGGGCAGAGCCCCGGTCAAGGTCACCACAACAGAGCCCAGATAGCCAGACTGCCCCCCCCCCGGTCCTGCCACCTCCTCGGGGGTGGGCACTTCCCGGGTCACGATGCGGCCGCCGGGTGTCGAAACAGCGCCGACCGCGCTCCCAGTGCAGCCTCGGACCCCCAGGCCTGGCAGGACGGACCCCACGGAGGCCGGAGCGGGGCAGGTGTCTGCACCCAGGGGCAGGTGCCAGGCTGCCGGGAGGGCGTCAGAGGAGAAGGGAAGCTCCAGGCGTGGGAGGCTGGGCCGGCTCTGCGGGCAGGGCGACAGCGGGCGACGGCTAACGAGGCCAAACCGGGCCAGGCCTCTCCCAGCGCTAATTGCCGGCGTGGGCGGCCTGGCCCTGGGACTGCCCGTGGCCCCCAGCGCCCGGCCGGGGG